GAGGAAATGAGCACCCACAGATGCTCTTGGAGGGCCTTAGATGTGCTTTGGCAGAGAGCAGAACGCGTGGGAAAAACTGATGGTTGATAGTGAAACTTGCAGGCTAGCAATAAAACTGAATGAAATCAGTTTTACCTTCCAGAAGTTAAATGCATAAGAGCAACTGAACTGGGCTGTGTAAATCAGGGGAAAAAGTAATTGAAATTAATACTTTGCTCTGGGAATTCTTGTAACTTATCCTGGAAATACTTTGCATTTCAGTGGCTTTTTATTGACTACCTGTTCTGCTTTATAATTAAATCTGGTTTCTGCCAGATGTCATAAATTTAATTTGCTTTACCTTTTTTGTGACTCCCTGAGTATTCACAATTAACCTGACTGCTGCTTGCACGCATGCACACTTGATTTAATTGTAATGCTAATAGCAGCATTTCCTTTTATTTTCCTGATTCCAGTCATTTATTTATTAGTCTTGGATGTTAAATGTAGGGTGGCAGTGCTGAAGTAATAGGCTAGCTCTTGTTTGATAAATTATTTTCAGTGATGTCTGTTAAATGGAGAAAACTGATGGGACATTAAACTGCAGACTGGCAAAAAGCTCTTCTGTGTAAAGCTATTGGCATGGAAAAGTCTCTAAAGTACAGAAATAATTTAGGTGTCTGGAACTTAAGAAAAGGGTGGTAAAGCCATGGACTTCAGACTTGAACAGGGAAATGTCCGTAGTGGGTAAGCAGGGCTGGGCTGTGGCAAATACAGCAGCAGGCAACTGACCAGGGGCAAATAGCAGCTCAAGGACAGTCAGGTGTCTGCTGGCTTTTAGCCAGATCAGATGAGACAAACTCTGACAAAAGTACAGGGGTTTGGCACAGAGGCACTGACTGGAGGGTTTACAATGTGAAGCTAATAAAATGGCCAGACTGAAGATATTTGGAACTCCTTATCCTTCCTGCAGTAGGAGCAGAGGCTCTGACTGCAGTGCTGTGAAATGCCAGGAAATGGCAGCGAAAGAAGACTGAACAAATCAAAGCATCAGCTATGTGGTTTCAAAGAAACGATGTTATTATTTGATAATTGTTTTGATAATTTGTGGAATAAAAATATTGTGGTCAGGTTAACAGCTTTTATTTGTTTCCTTTTTAGGGGTGTTAACGAAGAAGAAGTCACTCTTAAAACAAACAAGCAAGTTTACTCTCTTCTGTTGCGTGCAACTGCTAACAAAAGCATGACCCTGCTGGAGAGAATAGAGGTAATCTTAAACCTGCTGGAGCAGCTGTCTCAGAATAGTGAAGCCAGTAGTGGTGGAATTCAGTGACTTAAGTGCTGCAGAAGAGCAGAAACAGTGCCTTGTGAATGCATGGGATCAGTGGTATTTTTTTTCCCATGTGATATTTGGATTTATCAAAGGTGATAAGCATATACTGCCTATGGGGTTAACACAGTACACCTGGGAAAGAGTAGGAATTCCCTGTGAACCTGTGATAACTCTGGCATTGTTTGGTTATTAGCGTTTCTTTGTTTGAAATGCAGAGTTTGGGTTGTGGATACAAACTGAACATATATTTTCTTTTATCTTGGAGAAAAGCACAATTTTTCTCTTAAAGGTAATGGGCTTTGCAGCAATGCAAATATTTTGAATAGAAATATAACCTCACAGTTGTTTGGTATTTAATGAGATAGACTTTGTGAGCAAAGCTTTATTGGAATACTTCAACCAGTAACGTGAAAAAAAGCAGTGCAAGGAGATTTCTGTTGAGTGTGTGGATACATTTCTCTCATTACAGTCACTTTTCTGCACAAAATGTGTGCCTTCCTTGCTTTGATGCAAGGTTCTTGCATTTGCCATTGCTGGTATTTCGTTTGCAACAGGAGGGGAATGATCTTAGGTGTGTTGGAATTGATCCGGAATAGTGTTATCTTTTTCAGACTTGAAACTGTGAATAAAAGCATATTTTTAAATAAATATTTATTAAATAAACCTATGAATTGTACTGCATTGTTTGTTGTGCTTCTATATCAGTGAGGTAAACTTCAGAGCTAGAACCATTTGAGAAACACTAGGAGTTAGGAAAAAAACCCTATAAATGCTGCATTTTTTTCCTCTTGTAAATGAGAAGCATAACTCATAGGAGGTGGTAGAAACTGTAATTGTCAGTTAAACATATTACCAGTTTTTGTGTGTGTTATGTGTAAGCCCCCCCCCACTCAGACACATACTGAATTAAACACTTAAGCTGTTTGGAGGCAGTGATTCTTAATGCCAGTGTCATATGCAAGATAAGGGTTTGTGGTGGCTTTTGTATGGGGCGTGTTGTTTTCACCCAGGGGGGAAAAAACTTACAGAAACCTTTAGCCTAACAATATTGGTGTGGTTTTACATTTGTATCTTTGAGTCTGTTTTCAGGAGAAAGCTGAGCTTTCAGATGAAGCACAAAGCCTGAAAGAAGAAATATGCCTTGTGAAGGGGTGAAAAATGAGAGGCTTAGCGTGTGTCTCATTTCTGCTGCTTCTGCTTTTGAATGAGTTGTATGAAATGGCACAGTAGGTGCTTGGGTTCTGGTGTCTTCCCCTGCTTTTCACCTGGGGCCTGACTATATCTACCACACCTTGTGCTGTCCTCGCTTCTCCTGAGCTGAAAGCTGCAGGGAATTGAACAGCAGGTTTCTGAAGCAAGGTAAAAAAGCACTGTGCTTGAAATTGGTATTGTCAGGAAATTTGGCAGTGGTGGAGGGGTGTGAGAAGTGTGTTCATGACAATCTTTTCTTCAGAGCTGAGGGGTAACTGAGCAAGACTGCTGAGATCAGTGACTCTTTGGTGCAGAGAGCAGAAGGATATGGTTTTGGCCAGAGGATTTCCTATGGAGCTGGCCGTGGCAGGTTCCTGCTAAGGGGGAGTCCTGCTGAAACCCTCTGGATCTGATAAAGCAGGCTGTCTCAGTGCAGTTTGCACTTCCAGAGGACAAGTCCAAAAGGTCTGTCCGAGAGAACAGTGTAAGACTAGAATGTACTGATGACATGGGCCGTGTTTAATTGGCATTGCACCAACAGATCTATGCTCAAATGCGGTGCTTTCTCCAGAGCACCACTTACACACTCCTGCATCCTGCTGATTTCAGAAGCAGCAGCTCACGTAAATGTGTGCTTCTCTTCTGTGGGCTTTAAGTATTTGGCACTGTGACTGTCAGCCAGTCTAAGAACCACGGCTGCAGAGCAAGCCCTGTAACTTACTGTGTGAAGTCTGTTACTGTGATGTGGGAAGAAGCTTTGTGAGCTCTTCTAGCTTTCCTGTAACAAAACAGAACTAAAGAATTTCAGCAAGGCACATGGATGAGGTCTCCAATCTGCCAAATGACTACTAAAAGTGTTAAGCCCTCTCTGGTTTAAGAATTCTACAGTGGTTGGATAAGACAGCAGAACATTTCCTGCTTCTTGATACTACAGGCAGGCTTGCAATGCAAAGCTAGCAGCTGGGAGAGCAGTTTGTTCCTTAGATGAACCCTTATCTGCAGGGAACAGTTTTGTGTGGTGCTCTAGGGGCAGGCTGGTAACCAAGGGCCCATTGCAAAGAATGTTATCTAGGCCTTCCAAAAAGATGAATTCCTAAGTTCCAAACAGGGGAGAGCTCAGGGACGTGTGAGCTCTGAGGGAAGGATTGTTTCAGCTGTGAAAGTGTTCCTTGGATAAAACTAAGCCAGGCCTATACATCAGCTGATCTGACTGGAAAGGAATAAAAAGCCACTCCATTGCTGCAACTCTATTCCCTTTTTTAAATGAAATATATCACTAAGTGCTGCACAGTGAACCAAGCTATATATAATATATATATATTTCTGTTAACACAGGATGAATATGTCTGAATCCAAATCCCAGCCATAATGTCACCTGAGTCACACAGCAGTTTGCATGGCCTCCATGTCCCATTAAGTGTGCTAAGTACATACTGTATGGAGGTGATGGAAGCTGATATTTCTGTAGGTGTCTCCACAAGAAACTAGGACTGAACTGAGGAATTAGACATAATTAGATGTGACTTAGGATAACTAAAGAATTTGCCATACAACACGTGGGAATACAAGCTCATGTGGATGCCTTCAGCTTCCAGTCCTTGCTCTCTCCTCTGACAGACCCCATTTCCCCTTCTTCCCCTGCCCCTAGGCACTGGCTCATCTTCTCCAGCTGCCTTCTCTTTCAGCTGTGAGAGGTGTGGGCAGTCCTGTAGGGGACTTGAACTGACTTCCAAGTCCTCAATCTGCTGTGGATTTATTTCTGAATGCAAAGATGAGCACTACTGCACACTATTGTAATGACACTGCTCAGCTGTAGCTGAATGTTCAACAACTTAACTAAAATTGTCCTTAAAAGGGGGAGGGGGGGGGAAATAGTGGTAAAGAAAGTCAGCACTGGCTTCTTATTCATTCTCCTCCTCTTGAGGGCATGTCCATGCAGAGTCCTGCAGCTACATCCAGTTACCATAGTGATCCTAGTATCCTTCAGGAGGTTCTTCTTAATGATGAAATATTCCTCCCACTGCTTAACAGCATCTTCCAGCAATTAGTAGGCTTCTGAGATCCTATTTCATCTCAAGAAACAGAACTGCTCCATAAAGCACAACGGTTGTGTTACTGTGCCTGATCTGACTGATGAATCCTCATATGCAACTTGAAGTTATTTCTGTTTATATTAACATAATTGGGTTCAGTTTTAACTCTTATCCTGGGTACAAAGCTGCTTACCTAATTGGAAATTCAGGTCATACGCTCAGAATTAAGCTAATAGAAACTTACAGCAAAGGAGGGTTTCTCTGTTCTTCCACGAACCTTGTTGTTAGTATAGCACTATGAGTGACTTTCATATGGATTATAACTGAGTGTATTATGATTTACATCTTCCATGAATTTCACAGCATTGGCTGAAGGTAGCATGAGTGCTAAATAGGATTACTTCTCCTTTCACAGATAAACAATTAAAGTATAAGTCGCATTCAAACAGACAACTCTAACACCATTATTAATGGTAAGCCACTTTATTTCTCTGTTTACAAATCCTTCTCTACAGAAATAGAAATGAAACCTTATTTTTTTAAGACTCCATACTGCAAGGATGTGTCAATAACTGACCTCCTGTTAGCTTCACTCAGTGCAACAGTACAAGAATTATCCTACTCCACTGAGAATCTGCAATCATTCCCTTAATATAAATATTTCAGAAGGAGAACAATGAATAAGCTTTGCAACAGAAAATACTTCATAAGTACAATCTTCTTTTACAACAGAAGATGTGCATGGAGAAACTGACTATACACAGAAGTGGAAACCTCACCTTGTGCACTAGGAGATACCTGAGGTGACACATGGAACACAAAATGTCAATATATTACTCTGATGCACTGGTGGCCTCTCACAGTTTGTTTCCTGGGACTGCACACATAAGAAAAAGGGGCTTCAGGACGTGCTAGACAAATTTCTTAGATACGTGCTAGCAGCTCACACAAGGTGCTGCCAGGACAGTGTTGTGTATTCCCAAACAATACTTCATGGCAGGACAACAGGTCTGCAAAATGAAAAAGCCTTCTGTAGAGAACCACCAACACATGCTGTGCTCTCAGTCAGATAAAATGCAGTTCTGTGGGCAAAGTGCTTTTTGGAGCCCAGCAGTGAGGTCTTGAGGAGTGGGACTCTCTGCAGTGCAGCTTACTGGGATTCCTGCTGCCTCCATGGCTTCTGCAGTTGTTGGACCAATAGCAGCAAACTGCAATGACATTGTTTACAGCTGGAATTAGTGTGAGCAAGCATGGGATCAGCTCTTATTAGTTACTTTCTTGGCTAACACTGCCAGAAATCAGTTTGCATGTCTGAGCTCACTGCGTTGTACCATTTTGCACTGAAGACCTTCAGTACAAGTCAGCTACCAGCTGGGCTGTTTAGAAAGTACTTAGGAAAGATTTCTCCCACCATTACAAACCTTCAAAGCTTTACCTTCCCTGTACCAAAATCAGCCTTTTTCCCCACTAGACCTCAATTGGAAGACCAGTAGCTGCCACCAGCTCAGTGAATTTGAATTCAAAGAATGAATTGCAAACCTTAATGTTCTTCTTTGCCATCACAGGGGAATTATGATTTCTTATGTAAACAGAAGATTCAGAAATCCTCTGCAAGACATTTTTATTCCTCTTTATGTTGCAATGAAAAGCATGGTTATATACTCATAATTATGAATGATGTTAGAACCTTCATTATTTGTTTCTCAAATCAAGACTGCAGAACTTTGCAGTGGATGCTGCCTAACGTGTTTTGTTCAGAGAAAGAAGCACAAAGAGCCTGGCATTCCCCACAAGAAAATGAAGGTTTGGAAAGGGTATAACAGCTTTCCTCTCCCTTGGTCTCCCAACCTAGGCTTACTCCCCATTGCATTTCACCATCTTAAAAGAGCAGGTACCTTTATGTGGTTGGCAGAATCACCAGAAAGCTTCTGAATGTGCTGGAGGCAAAACTTGACACCAGATGGACTGAAGAACACGATGCTGGCTGGAATTCCCTGTGTGAAAGTAAGCAGAGGTTAGCAAAGGTTTCTCAGTTCCAGCAGCACATCAGTTCTTTCACATCAACCCCTTTAAACAGATGCTAAGCCAACAGAGGGCTCTCTGTGGTGCAGTCTGCCAAACCTCCACACAATGCTGAAGTTCAGGTGTGGCTTTAACCAAATATTTTGTCGCATACCCACTGGGTGATAAATGTACTGCAACTTTTCTCATTTCCCTGTTTAGCAAGGAAACTCATCAAGTTATTTCCCTAAATCCATTCCTGCCTACGTCAGTTCTGGCCACGTTCAGTTTCCCAGCTTGTGTGGTTTTACCCTAAGTTCTGCCCACCCAGAGGTGCTGTGACAAAGATGAGGTGATGCCTTCCAGCTGCAGATCACACAGAGGGCTTTCTGTCCCACACGAAGGCCTTAAGAGAGCCAAAAGAAAATTCTGCAAGATCTGGACCCAAAGCACGTGCCTTCTTTATCGTGATTTTCTGTTTGAGCAGAAAAATACCCTGCATGAGATGTACCCAAAGCACATCTGCTGTTGTTAGCGTGCGTGACTTGGAAGCTGGCCTGAGCCCCTGGAAAGCAGAGCGATGCTTTAGCTGCTCCCTGTCTCAGTGTGCTGAAACACTTGTATCAGCTAGCTAGGAACAACTAAAAAGCCTATGAGAAACAGATTTAATAGCTTCACACTGAAACCAGCAAATCACATTGTCTGAAATGTGTGTAAGGAGTTCCTCAAAAAGAACTCAGAATGTGGATGTATCCTCCCTGGAAGCACTCAAGGCCAGGCTGGATGGGCTGTGAGCAACCTGGGCTAGAGGGAAGTGTCCCTGTCCATAGCAGGGGTTGGAACCATGTGATCTTAAAGGTCCTTTGCAGCCCAAGCCATCCTATGATTCTATGAAAATGCCTACGTACCACGCCAGAGCCTTTTAGGATCTCCTGAAAACTAACTTGAAAATCAAGATATAATTTAACAAGACACTGATGTATAGATTAAACAGACGTGAACATGCTCAGGCAAGCCAAGCTATCCCAAGAAAGAAAGGCTACATTTTGAACACCATTAAACACAGATACAGGGGAAAATTCAGAAAGTCAACCTGGACAAAATAAAAACAATTTCTGCTAGCTTTAAATCTTTTTCTGTGCACTGCTCCTGGCTTAATAAAGTTTAACAGATACATTTGCTTTATGACCTCAATACATATGTCACTTGGAATTCAAAACACTTAAAATTATATTCATAAGCTGGATAATCAGAGGAGAGAACTCTGAGACTACGGAGGGCAGAAAACCACTGCATTCTGATTCATAAGATACAGCAAAGTTGTCCAGAGACACCACAATAACAACAATAATTAAAAAATAAAGCTGTTTAATAAATATCCTCTGGAAGGGAAGGGAAAGGTGTGTTTTGTTAGGTTACATCACAGACCTCAAAAATTCTGACATTCCAATTTGACCCAATACCTGCTGTGAGAAATAGCTGCTCAGTGACTGCTGGAGATGCTCGTGTTGGGCAGTCTGGTACACAGTCAGGCTCTCCAGCTGTATGCCTGGGATCACAAGAGGCATTCAGAACCAAACAGGATGTCATTGATTTCTATTATGCCAGGAAAAAGTTCTTACTGTATCACTTGCACTTTAAAAGTTAAAAAATAGTTTAACTATTTCAGGTTAAAAAGACACAGGGAAAAGGACATGAGGGATTCATACATCTTTCTATGCATATTATACAAGATTAGAACTTTTGTAACTGGAGGACCTCAAAGCACATGAGGACAACTGTCATGTCTCACAGCACGTCTGTGATTAAGTTCTCTTCCTTCTCAAGATGCCAACAAAGGTGATGAACAAAAGCAAGTAACCTTGCTTGAGCTGCACTACACCAAGTCCTGGAGCTGTAAGCAGCATCCCAACCTCAAAGATCGCCCAAGGAGGCTGTGGATGCCCCATCCCTGCAGGCATTCAAGGCCAGGCTGGATGTGGCTCGGGGCAGCCTGGGCTGCTGGTTGCTGACCTGCACACAGCAGGGGGTTGGAACTGGATGAGCATTGGGGTCCTTTTCAACCCAGGCCATTCTGTGATTCTAAGAAAGCCTGCACTCCCATCCTCCAATGGACATCACAGAAAATTCCATTCTCACTCAAATTTGGTTCAAAAAGGCTAGGTACAAATTGTCTCCTAACAGACTGAGAACAATGAGGCTCAAAGGGAAGTTCAACCTTTTTCTTTAAGTGCTGTAGGAAGTACTTCTCTTTTCAGGGCTCCGCAAGGGAAAAGAAGAGATGATGAACGAGGTTTCTCTCCTGTAAATACACAAACAAAAACTTGTCATTAATTTCTTTTTCAATAAAGATGCATTTAATCCACTTTAAAGGTATCAAATGCTGAATGCTGTTGCAAATGCTGCATGCTTCTCCCCCAACACAGCCCTGCGGTAACTGAAAGCACTCACAAAAACTGCATCCCAATTCAGAGGGCAGAGCTACTTAGCATGTAAATTAAAAAATATTCCATAACCAATACGAATGCATCGACTAAAAAGATCTCATGAAAGATAAACAGCATTTCTATTCCCCGTGCCGTTCCACAAAGAAAAACAAGGACTGTGCAAGTTATCTCTTCCTTCTCAGATACACAATCTTCCTCCATTTTTATATATAAAACTTCAGCCCACTCTGTACACAACAGCTCTCTGTAAGGGAAAGAACTTTCAGGCAGACAAGAGGACAGAAGCACTCTGCTGGAAGCTTCAGGCTATCTATGTGTGTGTTTTCTTGCTTGCCCAAGGAAAAAGGTTCCAATTCCAAGGCTGGAAGACTGGAAGTGGGTGTCCACACATCCTCGTATCCTTTCAAAAGGAACTGGCTTCCAACCTCAATTGCTGTTACACTGCCTGCATGTGAATGCTCCTTGCCCATCTGGGAAGAAGGACCTTTCTGGTTTGTGACCTCAGCTTTTAAGCAGCATTAAAGGCAGCAAACACCATTATCTGTTCTTACACAACAGCTTTTTGCAGCTACTGCCACTAGGAAAGTCAGATGCTCATACGGTGACTGCTTTAGGTGTATTATCTTAAAGTGTTTAATGCTCATTATGTTAAGATATTTAATGTAAAGGCTGTTCTGACAAGAAATGAATGAAAATGAAAATATACTCCAATGCAAACTGAAACCCATATTATCATTAATCCTTCATCACTAAATACAGCCAGAAGTTCAGATGTTTTTGGACATGAACTTAACAGCAGACTTCTTGTGCAGTTTGCCTTTTCTACAGATAAGGGAAATACAGAGAAAATGTTAAGAAGAAAAGAAGAAAAGCAAAGAGAAGAACAGCAAAGACAAAATGGGAAGACCTTACTTGGAGTCAACACGTACTGGCAATTGGCACAAATATTACGTTGCAATAAATCTAAAATTACTTGCCTTGTAAAAAGACTCAATGTGGCTGCTTAATTAGGAGCAAATTCCTTTGTTTTTAATTCCACTTAAGGTGGTATTGAAGCACCTGAGTAACAAAAGGATTACCCTGCTGCAGATTTTATTTTTATTCTGACAACAAATTCTAATGATAGAAAAATTTCGAGCTGTTCCTTTCATTTACCTATCATGTTAAAATAAATAAGAAAAAAAAAGACAGAGGTTCTTACAAACCACTTGATAAAGGGTGAGAGCATCAACAGGCAGCCTCCAATAAACCACCCGCTATGATTGCATCTATCAACAAGCAGTCTCCAATGATTGAAATGTGCTGGATGGTTATTAAAACTGAAGGGTATTGAAAGGCAGTCATTCTCACAGGGATAATGGCAGTGCTACAGCTCTGTGTTAATTTAAATAGCCTGCTGGTGTTCTGGTATGAAACTGCCCTCGGTGTAACGTATTCTATGGAGAAGGCTGTAAAACATACAATTTTCTTCCCCACTGGTGGCTGTCAGAAGCTGCTGCTGCTTCCAAACCGCTCTCTTTGGGTCCAGAAAAACACAATCCTCTGAAACCACGTGTTGGTGCTGAGGAAAGGAGTTGCCCTTATCCACTCTGAATTACGTGGTGGTGAGACACCCCAGCCCCAGCAGTGACATCCCATGCTCACTGGCTCACTAACAGAACCATCTCCACGTTACGACCGAGCAGCAATTTCAAATCCTTACAGCTCTGACCTTTAATTAAGAAAAAACCCAACACCATTTGTCTGCTGGGTCAATTAGTATCCAACTGCAGAGTCTAAGATGTCGGGTGAATTAAGATCCTGGATAGGAATTTCAAAACGTTGTTTATGGCCTTTTAGAGCTATTTAGGTATTCCCAGAATCTGAATCCAGAGATGTAAGATGACACAGACCACATATCCTCCTCTGTTTCAGCATACAGATGACTGTATATACAAGAAACAAGGTACATGAGCTTCATGTAAATAGAAGATTTCAGATACTCACTTGAGCAAATATATTCAGCTAATTTTTCAGCATTTCCACTCTTTTCTCCGTGTGAAGAAAGGCCAATTTCTTCCACTATAAGCAAAGACAGAAGAAAATTCCACTGAATTCAAGAAGAACAACTCAAAGTCACAGAAACACGAGCTGAAATTGGAGTCCCAATTGATCCACCTTAAACTGCAGCTTACCAAGAGAAGCTGTAGCCTTTCCTACCACGTATGTTGGTTTGGTATTCCACTGTTGTTTAAGAGATTTTGACCATGCTGTAAAACATTAAATTAAGTTTAAGCACGTGGCAACAAAATATGAATGCTAAATGAGTATTTGGACTTCTGTGCAAATCTGTGGATACAGCAAATGCCAACAACTAATACAGCAGGACACTTCTCAGCAAATCTGAGTTCACAGAATGAATTTTTAATGTATTTTTCATCGTGTAAATAGCAGCCAAAAACATGTGTTCAAAAGCTTGATTTGAGTAAATAGTTCTTCTGTTAAATAGTGTTCTTAATGCATGCTTCACCTTCACATCGTATGCAGCTTACGTTCATTTCTACTTTGGCATTAATGTAGAAGTTTAAATGGCAGCAAAGCTTCTAGGGAAGAAGAGTACACTGCAAAGATCTCAACACACAAAGTGGGGAATTTGAAATAGAAATGAGTTCTCAGCTCTGAAGAACTCAAGAGTGGTGAGGTGCTGGAACAGCTGCCCAGAGAGGCTGTGATGCCCCGTCCATCCCTGGAGGTGTTCGAGGCCAGGTTGGATGGGGCCCTGGGCAGCCTGGGCTGCTATGAAATGTGGAGGTTGGTGGCCCTGCCTGTGGTGGGGGGTTGGAGCTTCATGATGCTTGAGGTCCCTTCCAACCCAAGCATTCTGTGATTCTATGATTCTATTCTATGAATCTTAGCATCAGCAAATGTAACCACAACTGACTGCAGAAAGAAACCCACGCTGATTAGCAACTGATGCCAAGAGCTTTTTCCATTCATTTCTAAGAGCAGCATAAAGCACAGAAAAGCCAGACCCCTGGAAGCTCCATTCAGCACAAGACTTTTATGACGTCAAAACAGAATGATTTTTTTTTTTAAGGCATTCTCCAAACACTGCTGATGGATGAAATAAAAAAACCAAACTTCAGAAAATACCAAAAGAGAAAAACCAAGGAATATGAATGGGCACTTACCTTCATTTTTACTATTCTCTCTTAAACATATCTTGATGGCTTCTAATGCTCTTGGACTGGTAAAAACGAGGCCCCTGTAACGCTCTGGATGAGAAAGCTGCTTGGAAATAGGAAATGTAGGAAGCACATTAAGAATCGAGCAAATATGTGAAAGAAATAAGTCAATCAATTCCTTGTAACCTTGTGAACAACAAAACAGCACCAACAGATAACAGAAACGGGCAATTATTTACACTTATCAGCAGCCAGATTATTTATAAGAGGAATGTATAACAACTACTGGATATTTTCCTGTGTGATATTAACGCTGAAACTCTGCAGGAATAGGTAAGGCTTCCTGTCACTGCCACGAGCTGAGGGATGGACGAATGACATAGGAGATACTCCACATTCATGTAGGAAAAAACAACTGCCATTTCAAGCAGTAACACAGAGGATTGCTTGCTGCTTCTCCCCTACCTGATCAGAAAACAGTAAGACCACAAACATGCTCTAAAAGACTGGTTAAAAAAAAACAGAGTGTTCCCAGGTCAATTGTAAATGCTGTGATACACTGCAAGACCTACTAAAGAGAAATGCTGCTGGAGATGGGCACTCGAGGTAGGCTCCCTCACAAAAGCTTTCCAGCACAGGAGAACTAAATAAACAGCTGAAGAAAGAATGGGAACAGCCATTACACAGTTTGACCCTACGAGATGAGGTACACAACTTTGGTGCAATGGAAGGGTGAACTTCAGGTACGCTTTAGTTGGTACAACAGTCCTCTTTTCTTTTGCTACAATGCCTGTGACTACTGCTTGTAAGCTTTATTGTCCTATCTAACCAGCCTATGTCTTTAGGGAGTACAGACAGCATCCTTCTCATTGTGTGTAACATCACAGGACAGACTTCTGTTAGTGGAAAAACAACACGAGGTACTAAAAAGGGCAGCAATATTATTAACTCAGTGTAAGATGCTGCACCTTGGCAATCATGGCCTAAACTCTGCTGGAAATAAGGCAACTGGAATCCCTCCAAACTTACCTTTTCAAACAAGTCTTCAAGAGATACAAATTCAAATGACAAAACTGGAATCAAAGTTGCTTCAAATCCATACAATCCTAATTCCTATGGAAAAAAAAAACCCACAATTCTTGAAATACACTTGCAGCAGTTTTTGCTTCAAAGAAACGACCAGGTCAGTGCAAGTATATTTTTCCTCAGCTAAAATACACAGGCATCTTACTCATTAGTGAATCTGGTTAGGTTCACCTATCTTGCTGAACAGAACAATACTGTTACTTAATAGCAAAATAACACAACCATTTACTTTTTCGAGTTCACTCACTTTCACATACGGATCTGGTCCCGACTCTTTGTCTTTGGGGTCCTTCAGTAACAGAACCTTCATCGTTTATCAAATAATTGCAGAAGAACTCTGAAATACAATAAAAGAATTTATCTAAATTAGATCTAGAAGCCTTTTTTGCTGAGCAGTGCCTTTAATGGCTCAACTCGAGCTGGAGCAGGGCTCCCTGTGCAATGAGCCAGCAGCTAACGCACGTTCTCTGGGAATGAATACCCACCCTGATAAGAGCAGCAAATAACATGCTGGCTTCAGATAATGCTGCTTAAGGGAGAAGCTGCAAGGAAAGTCATCAAGGAGAACGCTGCAGAAGGAGGAACAACCCCTACAAGGCAGTCATGTTCAGTAATGTAAGATGTAACCTGCTTCTGGCTGAAACAGCTTTATCCCACTCTGTTCCACCCTGTTCTGGGCCAGGCTCACATCTGTTGCCCATACACAGAAGGGAAGGTTCTCCATTCCTTAAATGCTGACGTGCTGAATTCAATGACTGATTCCAACACTTGGGCAAATACAACAAGCAGCAAAGCAAACAAATAGCTGAACACAAACAGAATTTGCTAACTGCACACTGACCCTAATTACTCACGTGCTCCTTTCTGATATTAACACAGCAGCCAATTAGCTTTAAAAAGAACAAAAACGAGTACTCAAATGTATGGAATATCACTGGTTTGTTTGCACCAAATGCATTGAAATCCTCCAAGTTTCATTGAAGACCAAAAGACTGTTTGGGCAAATGTTTGTCATCACAACATTTTTAAACATTTTTCTCCAAAGAGAAAAGGCAGCTTTGGACCAAAGCAGGCACTGGCACCAAGTGTTACTGAGGAACACCTATGGCTGTCCAACACAACACCTTACCAACATCAGCTTCCCCAACGAGCAATTCCACTGAATCATTAATACAAAGCACACAAGACATGTGGCAGCTTCAGTAACTGATGGTGTATTTTGAAGTACTAGCACTATGGGAACATATTTTAGATGTCATTAAATTTAACCAAGAGAGGAATGCAAAAACTTCTGAAGAGCCAGAAGATGTTTCCATATAGAGCAGTGAATGGACTGACAGAGTCCAGCAGTGCTCAGTTTACATCTGCAAACGAGACTGTGTTGTGAATAACCTGAGCTCAGTTTTGCACTGCCAAGTTTATAGGACGATGTTGGCCTCCCACTTTTGGCTCACAAAACAAGCACACTGTTTGCATGCCAATAACTGCTCTGTGATGATTGCTCTTCAGCTGTTAAGAGAATACCATTTAGAACCCATTAGGCTTGCAAACAGCTAATAAGAGGACCACGGATTTTCTGACTTGAGCACAAACGCACACTCAGATGAAGAAAAACTTGTATGAGCCATTCTGGGGTTTGGGAAGCATCCAGTTAGCTCTGATAACAAACCATGGGAGCAAGCAGAGCTCCCAAGGCATTCCTTTGTGGCCAAAGGTACAAGCAGTTTGGTGCTATTTCTCTTAGCCCGCATTACCTAAGTCAGGAGAGGGGTAATTTTGGGTCGTGTTGTGCATTCAGGGACATATTAATAGATGTAACTGAAATGCTTCCTATTCACAGCATTAAACAGTGAAATTCACCATTGCTGTGCCTTCAATTAAAACAGAAAGCTGATTACAGTGTGTGTCTCCAGTCCCCCACTCCCCTGCATTGGAAAAGTTGTCCCCAAACTAATTGCAAACCACTTCTATGATGGAGGATGGCTTTGAGAAAGAAAGAAATGGGTCCTTCTGTTTCTGCTTCTAAGTGACACTGAAAGCTGCAAAACACATCAAACTTTAATAAAACTCCAGCCCCTCTTTTATTGCAAGAAAGTGCATGGGTCACACAGCAAGGATTGATTGCCAAGTGTAACAGGAATGTCATAAACTGAAATGGAGATGAATTACAAGACACTACTGACATATGCTAAAAAATATTAAAGAAAAACAACCACTCTGAAAAACCCTGGGCTGAGATTTTTGATGCTATGTATTTCTTACCAATATTCTTTCCTAGCGAATAGCTGGGTTTAATAACCAGAGAAGGAAAGAAAGATTACCTGTGAGGCTGCCATGACTTGTTTCAAAAGCCTACCAAACTCACAGATAACATTATATATACACCATTCAACACGAGCAATTTTTCTAAATAATAATTCCTGTTACACAGGAATCCCAAAATCCAACTGCAAAACTAGTTCCCTGACCTGGCAATCCCCTGCAGCTGCAGGACTTGGACCTTCATAGAATCATTCAGGCTGGAAATGACCTCTCAGATCCCCCAGACCATCTCCAGCCACCCATCCATCCCACTGCGCCCACTGCCTACATCCCTCAGTGCCACATTCTCATGTTTCCCAAACACCCCCAGAGATGATGATCCCCACTCTCTGGGCAGCCTGTGCCAGTGCCAACCACTCTTTCAGAGCAGAAATTGTTCCCAATCCCCAGTCCAAATGTCTCCTGGCATAACTTAAGGCCATCACCTCTTATCCTATTGCCACCTGGGAGCAGAGACCAATCTCTACAACATACTGCAGCTACATATGGCACAAATCCCCACAGAAGGGGTTTTACTGCTTCATTGAAGAATTCTGTCAATCCATCTTGCTCCAATCTCTCCCTAAGCATCAATGTTTGTATTTCAGCAGTGCTTCCAGAGCAAATACAGCTCTCGACTTCCAGCAGCCCTAACCCAACCCAACCAACCCAACCAACCCCACCTGACCCAACCCAACCTGACCCAATCCAACCTGACCAACACAACCTGACCCAACCTGACCAGCTCAACCCAATCTGACCCAATCCAACCAAACCAACCAAATACGACCCAACCCCACCTGACCCAACTGAACCAACCGAACTTAACCCAGCCCAACAAACCCAACTAACCCAACATGACCCAACCCAACCAACCCAATTTGACCCAACCTAGCCAGCCCAGCCCAACCTGACAAACCCAACCAATCCAACCTGACCTGACCCAACCCACTCAATCAACTCAACCTGACCCAATGCAACCCAACAAGCCCAACTTGACTCAACCCAACCAACACAACCTGACCCAACCCAACCAACCTAACCAGCCCAGCCAAACCTGACAAACACAACCAACCTAACTTGACCTGACCCAACTCAACCCAACCTAACCAGTCCAACTCAGCCTGACACAATGCAACCCAACCAACCCAACACGACCCGACCCACCCTAACCCAACCAACCCAGCTCGACCCGCCCTCACCATCCTAACCCAACCTGACCCAATCTAACCAACCCAACTCAACCCAAACCAACCTCAACTGACCCAACCCAACCATCCCAACCTCCCCAATGGAAGGCAGCCCCCATCCACATGGCACACACAGCTGACATCTCCCCCCCCCCATGCCCGCACTGTAGCTTGTCTCAGTCCTTTCCTAGCGACTTCATTAGCACTCACTTAACGACACGCAGGGCCTTAAACAGAACAGAGTGCGCACGTTCAAACATCAATGTAACCCGCAGTTCGGTGCAGCCTGTGGGAGCGGACAGGAGCCCCAGCTGCCCCGCACGGCTCCCCAATGCGCTGCCCCCCCACTCACCCGCCCCGCGCCGCTCCCGGCCCGGCTCCGCCCCTCCCTCCGCGCGTCCTTCCGGCTCCGCCGCGCATGCGCACAGCGGCAACATGGCCACGCCGGCTAAACGCAGAGCGCGGCCTGCAGCTCCGGAGCGAGATTCGGAATCGGATTCGGAGCCGGAATCGGGCGACTCAGAGTCCGAGGAGGACGAGCAGGTCGACGAGGTGAGCGGCGGGTTCCGTTTGGCTGTTAGGAGAAATTCCCCTGCAAAAGACGGGGCGGGGGAGCAAACCTTCGCGTTCCTTACAGCCTGGCTCGGTTTTACTCCAGCTTCTAGACAGTTACGCTTAACTTTCTGCATTCTGCTTTTTTTGTAGGAAGTGAACGTTGAATTCGAAGCGCATTCGATATCAGACAACGACTACAATGGGATAAAGAAGCTGCTGCAGCAGGTGCTGTGCGTTGCCGTTAGCAGGGCTGACGCCTCGGTTCATTAATGGAGCTGTATGCAGCCGTCAGCTCACGCCGCCGCACGCAACGCCGGGTCTAAAACGTCTGTAATCCCTGCTTTTTATTTTCCAGTTGTTTCTAAAAGCTCCTGTTAACACTGCTGAGTTAACTGATATCTTAATACAACAGAATCACATTGGAAGTGTTATCAAGGTAAGACAGAAATGGCTCTTCTGAATTAAGTACTTGAAATGCAGTTATGTGCTTCTGGATGCGAATCTTGTCCTGAACGTTGTTTGTAACTTGCTTGTTTGTTTTGGGAATAATTCTCTTGTTGGACCTGATATTTTCCATGCTGGATTTGAACCAAACGGTGAAGTTGGTTGATTATTTTGGTTGCTTTCTTTTCACATATGAATTCTCTTCAGTCTTCTTCTTGAACTTATGACCAGTAGAGCAATTATGATGAAAAGACCATGGAGGAGATTGTTACTCTCAGTAAGAAGCAGTGCCATATAGTTTCCCTGCAATCTCAGGAAATAGATGTAGATGAAGAACACCCCCATGTGCAATTTATAGAGTCATAGAATTACAAAATGGCCTGAGTTGAAAAGGCCCACAGTGCTCATCCAGCTCCAACCCCCTGCTGTGTGCAGGTCACCAACCAGCAGCCCAGGCTGCCCAGAGCCACATCCAGCCTGGCCTTGAATGCCTGCAGGGATGGGGCATCCACAGCCTCCAGTTTCCTCTTGTGGTTTCCTCAGTACTCTGCAGAGCTCTGTGGTCTTAGGAATGGACCCTGAAATGAGTCCTGAATTTTTCTGCCCAATGTTAACGTGATTCTTAGGTAACAAGTGCATGATAGCCTCTATTCTTTGGGCAAGTGTTTTCTGTGCTTGTTTCTACACTCTGTTAAAGCTCTACTTTTTCAGACTTTGCAGGTATATCTCCCTGCATTAAAAACTGAAGAAAATCGGTTTTGCGTAAGATAGTGCCATCCTTTGTACAAAGATGCTGCTTATTAAACGCAACACTCAAATGTTAATGCCATTGAAAAGATAGTGCTATAGAAGGTACATGGCCTGGCTCTATGTACACCTGGCTCTAAGTGCATCAAGCCATTCAGTGCTGTAGCACTCTCATAACCATAACCAGAATTTGTAGGTTGTGTGTTGGCACAGGTTGCCTACATAGTTGTCATCTGAAGAGCATCTTCTGAAAAAAAAGAACAAAACAAAACACAACAGATTTTGGTGCAAGGAGTGAAAATGGAATGTCAGTATGCATTATTTCTCTTTCTTTCATTGAACAGCAAGCAGAAATCCAAGAAGACAGCAGTGATGATGACGATGTTGATGATGATGAAGTCTTTGGTTTTATAAGCTTCTTAAACTTAACTGAAAGGAAGGTTGGTATTCCTGATTAACTTCTAGGCAGATGTAAGTGTGCCTATGTTCTGCTTTTCTGCCTGGAACAGCATGCTGAGATAGTTGGATCAGGATTCTGAATTCTGCCATGGAGAATTATGGTCTCAGAAGTTCT